TTGATCAATTACTTGATTAATACATAAAAGAAAGAGCACTGCCTTAATTTCAGTGTCTCATGAAAAGCTCAGGACCGTGTTTCTAACAGTCTCAGAGTTGTCACCCAAAGTCAATGGTTTTCCTTGGCAAAGGGCTGCAGGTGATCCCCATGCCTCCTGTTGGGGAAGTTCCTTAGGTGGTGACCAATATTCAGAGCACAAATCCTTCACTGCTTAGTAGCTGCCCATTCATCCATTTGAGTTTCTTGAGCACCCCCTATTACTTGGTTCTCTAGTTGGAGTATGTGTAATTCAGGATATAAGCAACAAAGCAGAAGGATTAAATATGAAAAATTTGGATTCAGATTATGAGGATTCAGGTCCTGGCTTTACTTCCTAATAGACTTATGATCCTATGCAAGATTTAACTATTTTTTTTTGAAAACTTCATTTTCCTCATCTGTAATTTTGAGATAAAATAGTTCCAATCTCTCACGATTGTTATAAAGAGTAAAGTAAATGAGGCAATCTATGTAAAGCACTTTGCAAAGAGCCTAACACCTTATAAGCTTGATAAATGTTAGTTTTTCTTCTCTTCCTCCACCTCCTCCTTTTTCATTTTTTCCCTAAATTTCATATATTCTAAAATAAAGATTGAAAAATTTTTTGCCCTTCTGAAAGTGATATGAGTCTTACAATTAATTGATGGTGTGTTCTAGGTCCATTAACAGAATATAAATTTTTATATGTAAATTAATAGTGCATTTGACTATCAATGGCACCGAAAGTGAGATAAAATATGGAATCATTGTTACCATTACTGCTAATTTGACTATGTGAAGTATGCAAGAAAATGCAAGAGGCTTCAGTATAAACATGGTGCATCTTTCTGGAACATCAATTTTACTTGAAGATTTTGGGAGTAAAGTTGAATAATATAGCCAATAATGAATTTTTAATATTCTTTTTTATATTTAAACAAACATAGCTATATTAAGGAGAAGTCAAAATGTACCTGAATTTTTAGGAAAAAATGTGACACGCTACAGAAACTTTGGCCTAAAATATTGGGTTTCTGATGCTTGGATCTTTACATAGTAAATGTTCAACTGTTTGGAATATTGTGCTGGAAAAGTCTGCAAAGCACTATGTAAAGCAGTGATGAGAAAACCAGATAAGGTCCTTCCTCTTATGGAGCTTAGAGTTTAGTGGGAGACAGACTTGAAAGCAAATAACGGAGAAATGGTGTTTTAGCTGCTATGACAGTAATTGTTACAAAGAGTAGTTGAGCATAAAGGAGGGCGTGATCAATTCTGTTGGAGGCATAAGGATGCCAGTCAAGAGTCTTCTTAGAGAAGGTGAAGTTAAAGTAGACTCTTAAATGACGGTATGGAATTTGGGGAGATGACGTGGCACAATTAACAGGATCCTTGTCATTTTCATCCTCTCTCCTGGGGGCTGTGATGCTCTATGAATTATTGGGGGAAATTTTCACTGTTGAACTGTCAGAGGAACTAGAACATCCACTTACTGGTATTCCCTGTGCCAAGGTCTTCTAAGGCTCTTGTGGGTGGCCTTGCTGCAGCAGGACAAATCTGGGTCAGCCTGGAGCATATTGACCCATATTTAACCCAAGCTAAGAACTTTATAACCTCTTCCAAACTTCTGAATCTATGTTACAAGCACAGCCTGGTACTCAGATTTTGCTAATAAAATATAAGTCCAAGCAACATCTTCTTCTTAGATTATGAAATATTTGTTTCCATGCTCCTTCCAGTAGGACTCATGAACTGTTCATTCTGTGAACCCCTGCCATTTGAATGGAACTGTATATTCTTTTGTAGAGCTTCCTGGCTGAAATTCAGACCTATATTTCTTGACCTAGGGAGAAAGACATGCATCCTTTAGGAAGACTGATACAATATTGCCATCCTTACTCTTTACACCTCCTGATTATCTTCAGAACGGCTGGTTTAATGTAACAATAATTCACAGTCCTCAGCTGGAAGGCTGCAGAGAATTCTTCATTATTCAGAGTTCAGCAAGTGCCAGCAGTGTTATTGAAGTGGTAATTGAATTTTGTGAACCCTCTGTGGTCCAGACAGCATAGGAATGCCTGCAAGAACCATGTGATGTGGTTAAGATGAATACATTTCCAACAGTAATGGATCGTCAAACTAGGCTTGATAGTACACAGCCAAAAGGACATACTGTTTTGATGATTTGACTTATGATATTGAACATTTTGGAGTGAAACGCATTTGGAAGCATGACATGTATCTACAAAGGATGACATTGGGAGAGAAATCTAATACTGCCCAGAAATCTCCGTCAAAATCTTCATTGATAATCTCAAGTGCAGATATGTATGTGACAAATTATCTCCTTGTGTAGTTAAAGATGTCCCTGCTTCACTGTTGAATTGAATCCTTGTGTGGAAAAAGAAAACAAAAATCCCCAAATAATTTTCAATGAAATGTGCCTTATCACTACACCAGCAATTAAGTGCTCTCAAAATTTCGCATTCACAGAATGATCTCAATAGTCTCACTACTTTGCAATGCTGTTTCTAAAAAAGTACATTTATAGTTTGGGAAAATAGCACAAAAATGAAACTGTTGGAATTGTTTTGGTTGCTGAAAATATACTTGGCCTCAGCGGCTGTGGCATTGTGAAAAGGAAAAAGCTTTGGCTCTGAGCTCGGGCAGACTCCGAGTTTGAATTGTAGCGCCTTCATTTTACTGTGTCCTTAATAGGTCATTAACTTCTTTGACTCTCTTCATCTTTCCCTGTAAAAATGAGGTCCGTAATGCCTACTTCTGGACATTAAATGCATAGAACAAGGGGCAGCACTTGGCTCTGCTAAGTACTTACTGCATTAACAGCTGTCATTGCAGGCCTCCTATGTGCGGGCCACAGTCAAGTGCTTACGAACATACATTATAACGCTGTGGGGCTGGTATTTAGGGTGACCAACTTCTCCCAGTTTGCCCAGGACTGTCCGGAGTTTACAAGTGAACAGTCCTGAGTCCCAAGGACCATCTCAGTCCAGGGCGAACTTCTTACAGGTGTGGAAATGGAGACTCAGAGGCTGTGCAAATTACCCAATATCCCACAGCTGGAAGAGAATAGGCCTGGCTTTCAAACCCAGGCTCGAATTATTCTCAAGCCTGTGCTCTTTCTGCCCCTTTAAACTCTGCTCCATAAATGTTGTTTTCCTTGTTGTATTGATTAGAACGTTCTGAACTTTACAAATATTTGTACATCAGGTCACATTTTTTCAACTGCCTTTAATTATAATTACAGGAATGCCTGTGCATGTATGTGTTTGTGTATGTTGGAGAGCTCTCCAGACGAAAGTGATAACGAAAATGATAGTTTAAAAGCCTAATATTTATTTCAAAGAACTTTCTGTCTCTTGTCAATGCATAGACAATTTATTTATTTATTTATTCATTCCACAGGTATACAGTGAGGTCCTACTGTGTGTTGGGGACTTGGGCAGATACGAAGAAGACTAAGGCTGTTGTCCTCAAGATGCTTGTGATGGGGGTGCAAAGAATCAGTTGTAAAATATTGCGATAACTTTGATGATAGAGGCAAGTTCTACATACTCGAGCCCCTGCAAGCACATCACCTCCTTCCTCCCCTCCCACTCTGCTCTAGCCTCATGGATCTTCCTTAATGCTCTGATCTCATCCCTGACACTATTTTTTGTTCATTTGTTTTTTCACTAGTTTGGAAGATGCTTTCTCTTTGTCATTTAGATGAAATGTCACCTCTTCAGAAAGAACTTCCTTGACTACCTCAAGCTAAATTAGCCACCCAGAAATTTTCTATTATATCACCTTGTTTTGATGATTGTCATAGGGTTTATTTATTCAGTATTTGAAATTTATCGTCTTTGTTTACTGCTTCTTTGCCTGTCTTTCCCAATATAAATTCTAGGAAGAAGAGCAGACTTGTTTATTTTATTATTTGTTTTATTCATGGCTGTGTGCCCAGGACCTAAAACAATGCTAGGCACAGAGAAGCAATCAGTAAGTACTTGTCGAATGAACAAAATAAATGAATTAATAAATATTTTGGATGCTGGAAGGGGCAGTTAACTCAGCATGAGTGAGAACAGGTGGAAGGGGAGTGTGCTTGAAGGAACATATCAAGTCAGCCTTAATTTTTGTTTCTCTACTTATAAAGGTAGTATATTCTCCATTAAAAAAAAAGTTGATAAAAAAGTCACAAAAAAGAAAAAAGAAATCAGACTAACTTGATGTAATCACTAATAATATTTTGTTGCACATTCCGTCCTAGGTGTCTTTCAATTCACGTTCATAGATACTTTTAAACAAAACCAAATCACTCTTTTCATAGTTCTATATTGGACTTGGGCATATTTTCTTATATCTCTTCCTATAGTCTCAGTTTAAAGATTGCTTTGTTTTTCATCATAATGAGTACACTACAATTTAGCCAGCCAAATCTATAGTGTTGGATCTTTGAGTGTTTCCAATTTTTTTTTTTTGTCATTATGAATTTTCGGGGCTGAACAGCCTCGAAAATAGATTATCTTTGCACAGACCTGTCTGGTAGCTTAAAGTAGAAGCAAAAGGATTTCAGTTTGAATTCTAGATACACCAGTTTCTTTTAACCTTTTTTAAAAGTTTCCTCATCTGTAACACGGAGACATGAAGAATGCTCACTTCGTAGAACTATTGTGCGAGTTAAACAATGCAGCGCAAGTGCAGTGCTCAGCACAAGGTAAATATGCAATAAATGTTAGCTGTTTTTGATAATTTCCTGTGACTAAACTCCTAGAAGTCAAATTTGCTTTCCAATATCACTTAAAGGACAAATAGAAGCTAGCTAAAGAGAGGGCTGGGGAAGAGGAGACAGACAGAGGGAGTGAAGTTGGGAATAGGAAAACTTTTTTTAAAAGATTTTTTAAAATTATTGAAGAACTGCAGACCCACTTTGCATTAGCCAGAAGCTTCAAAACACAAAACTTCTATTAACTATGACTCTCACACTGCCCAGATGGCAGCCCTGTCCTGGTCCAGCTCTACAGCATCACTGGAAATACGCTTTTCTGAGCACGTGGCAAGAGCAGAATGACCAAGAAAGTCCTGGCCATTTAAGCTGGGTAACTGGGAGGATCGAGAGCCCTTTACTTATATGAGAAAGTCAGGGAGGTTAGTTTTGCTGGTCAGACAACAAGTTCAAATTTCCGTATATAGAGGAGTCCAGAGAATGCTGTCCAGGAATGGAAGATCAGGGCTTGAGATGTTGGTTTGAGTAAATGATTGGAGACTGAGGCTGTGGCAGTGAGATCATGTAGCTTAGTAAGAGCTGATGTTTATTTCCCTTCTGATAAGAGGCTTCAAGCTCATTCAAAAATATCCATTTTGCTTTCAATAGATGCTATTGATTGATGTCCTATTTAACTCATAAATTTTAATTTTATATTTTCGGTAAACAACAATGTTCAACTTATAAGCACAAAAGTAATAGTAGAGTCTCAGCAATAAAATCGTGTTTATTTAGTGATGTCTGACAAGTAGAGAAATTAAAAATAATATTTTACAAAATGTACAATTTATACTTTTATAAATACTTTAAAGGAGAAAAGTGGAACACATATGGTGACATTAGAAGAATGTGTATTTTGAATTTTGCAGCCTACTTTGTAGCCTGACAAATTAGATACACATACATATACACACATATCTTGACTGTGAGTTTTCATAATTATGGCCCAAGGATACGTTTTGGGCATGTCTACAATAATTCTAAACTCCCATAGAATTTGTGGTCTCTCACCACCACAGTCATTTTGATTTTGTTCTTCTTTTTCAAAATTTCATGCAAAGCACATTTGAAAGTCATCAGA